TCCTGGACCTCCGCTTCCTACACAGTTATCTGAAGATGCGAAAAGAGAAGGCTAGCAGGGCCTCTTTGCTTGTTGAAGACAGTAAAACGAAACAAAACAAAAAAAGGCCTATTGGCTTTGCAAAATCAAAATTAAAAGCAAATTTCTGTGTTTTACCAGTTTCTAAAACCCGTATCTTGCTGAATGGCAGAGTGAATTAAAGAAGCACATGCAAAGCACCGATCACCTGGATTATTTTTAAATATGTGGCACAACTGAGATCACCAGCAGCTTTTCAAGATGACCTGTTCTAAAAACACACAAACCTACTACCCTCTTGACATATTTGCATACAGGGGAAAGCAAATGAGACAGAATTATCCTATCCAGTACCAGTCTACTTCCCATTGCAGGGAATAAACATCAGTAGACAAACACCTCCATCCCTGGAACTGTTCACGGCCAGATTGGATGAGGCTTTGAGCAACTTGATCTAGTGAAAGGTGTCCCTGCCCATGGCAGGGGGGGTGGACATGGAGTCCCTTCCAACACAAACCATTCTGTGATTCTAAGGCAAGGAAATTGTTTTGTGGACGCAGGGACAAAGCCTTCCTATTGGGGTTAGCAAAAACAGAAAAGAAAAATCAATACTCGAGCTACGTAGTGACATTTAATTACAACAACAGAGAACTACAGGCAACCCAACGATTCTCACAACACTTTCTTCCTCTCACTAGGCACACTATCAGGACTCAAGAAGACTCAGCTAAGAAATTTCATTTAATTGTTCAAAATGACAGGTCTTCCTGAGAGTTTCACCATCCTGTTTATCTTGCCTGAACAGTTTTGAAACTCATCAGCAAGCAACAGAATTACTGCTCTACTCAGAATGCGGCATTTGCTTTTAGTAATCCACGGGGTCCCAAAAGCACCTAAAGTTTTAAGCTGTCTTGAAGCTGTTGCCCCCTCTCCTTCTTCCTTTCAAACTTCTTCATGCAGACACAGTTTGGTACAGAATAAAATATTTTTACATACAGCTACAGCTTCTGGAGGTGACAACTGCCAAGCTCATGCAAGATTAGGCTTTCGCCCAGGAGGCATGCCTTGCTGCATGCCGGGACCTGCTGCCTTATGGACCACACCTCTATTAAAAGAAGAGGGTGGATGCCATCTTCTCCAGTTTATGGAAATTAAACTGCAAGCTGTTGGAGCATTACCAGCACAAAACCAGACTGAATACAGGAGTCTTCCCAGTCCCAATTCTTACGTGCCTCGACTAAAGCACCAGACATGGGCTGAGTTCATGCACCAGCCCTCCGGAAGTTTCTGAAACTGCTGCAGAAGCATTTACAGGTCTATTTTCAAAAGTCTGTCACTACTGCTTATCCACAGCTATTTTAAGTATTTGCATCCTGCGCTATGACTAGGAGCACACGAAGCTGCAGCTTTTCAAGGATTTATTTAACAGAAGTGACAAACTCGAGAATTGAGACTTCAGGTTGAAGCGGAGACTTAAGAAATAATTAAGATAATAAAGAGTATTAAAAGGTAGTCATTGCCACACTGGAAACAATGGTCCCTAGGGCTGAGGAGCAGTCAGCCCTTCCCACCGACGCATTAAACTGCCTGTCACAGGGAAAGGGAATTCCCTCCTCATCCCAGCGAGAGATTAGTGGGCGCTCTCGAAACATGCGGCTCACAAAGGCTGATGCCGGCACGAATGCCGGTGCTGCCCTTACTCGTACGTGTCTCGTTTCTT